AAATTCCTTTTAAATTGTTTCAGTAGTTTTGGCGTGAAAGGACAGACAGACAGAGTTACTTTACCATTTATAATATTAGTAAGCATTAGTAAGTAAATACATAGAGCAAAATAATATCTGAGACTATCAGTCATCTGTCCTTATGATTTGCATAAGCTTATGCGCAGACAACTAAATGACTAAGATAGTTTATTTTAAAGTATATAGCTTTAATGATAATGTGATAGTTAACAGTTAAGGCTCAAAGATATACGACTCATTACGTTAATATAATAAACCCCTTGCTCTGTCATAACCTCAGTATGTATGAAACATATATAATTCTAGCTGTCGCCCGCGACTCCGTCCGCGCGGAATTAAAAGAAAACTTTGTCACTAGCCTATGTGGTCTTTCAGACTATGTTCTAAATCTGTGCAAAATTTCATCAAGATCCTTTGATCCATTCCGAAGATATCTTCAAACATCGATCTATCAACATTCGGATCTTTTAACATTCGGATTTATAAAATTAGTAATATAGTAAGATAGTGCAAGAAATGAAAGATGTAAAACTGATTAAATTACTTCGTTTCTTTTTTTAGTTTGCTCTCTATTAAAGTTTTATTCCGATATCCATTTAATTTACTTATGCAATCAGCTTTGGCTCGACTGTAAAGTGATCCACCGACTATCTCTGTAGTCAGGTCCACAGTAGGCAGTTTCAAGATTATAAATTTACATAAATATGCACCAATTAGAAATACACGATAACGAAGATATAGAACAGTTTACAGTGGAGTATTTGTCGATAAAAATTGGTTCTATTCCTCTCGTATAAAAGATCGTAGCCAAATGTTTTAACCAAAATCCATTCGTACTATAATCAAGCTGATAAGTATGTTTGTTCGCGCTAATCTTAAGAACAACAAATCATTTTTTTTTAATTTGATAGCCCCCTTAATAAAGAAGGTTGTATGCTATTTTACATTATAAGAGCAAAAATAAAAAAAAAGTTAAGCGACAAATATGTAAAATTACGGGCGAGTAAACCAACACTACACATCTAGTTCAGCGATACTTCGAATCTGAATGTTGTTTATAGATAAACAAATATTCTTCGAGAAAAATAAAGATTTTTTTTTAGTGTAATTTAAGGAACTTGATCAACAACTCTTTGTAATTTAGAAAAGTTTTTCAAGTATTATTATCCTTTGATAATAAAAAAACAACTGAAAAAAGTAAGATGCCCGTTAGAACCAAAGCACTCTTTTATTAAACACACAATTTTGAGGCTCGGATTTCTAAAACTTTACTTAAATAAGCACCCGAATATACAATTACCTTTCACAGAAATATTTTCGGGACGCCCTTTTAATTTGGGCGTTTATTTGCCTTTCATTTGTTGTGTAAACTGGTTAATGAATTTATTTTTTGTTTTTGTGTTTTGTTTTATATTAAATTTTTGTAATCAATTTTGAAATAAATCATGATACATTTTAAATAAATTAATCATACAAAATATGAGATCTTCGTCTTGATGAAAGTATTCATATATAGTTTACATTAGCTATTTTGTTTAAAAATTTAAGGATGTATTTGAATGAATTTGAATAGCATCGAATTATATCGCAAACAATACGTACTACATAGCTATTTTGACCTGTTACTATAAGAGTTTTTATCACGTCGTTTTAAAAAAAAAAATCTGAAAAAGTGCCAATGAATCACTCTCTATGTTCTATATTACGTAACAAAGTCCTATAACGATTAACCGTGGGTTTATTGTTATCTTTGTTTTGTCAAAACATGTTTTACATAGAGATTTTGATCTTAGAAACCAACGGTTTATTGTCTGACGTTCGCGACTTTATTTGAGTTCTATATTAAACAATTTTCTACCTATACGTAGAAGGACGTATACGTTATTCTTTCTTAGTTGTAAATATATTATTACACGGTAGGATCTACAAACATATACGCATAAATTACTTAAATTTACAAAGTCATTACACATTTTTAATGGCAGTTGTAGCGTACGCACGGAAAATTGCGTGACTGTTTAATTAAATGTCCTTGGAAATTATATTATGGATATAATTATAAATTATTTAACTATTCTATTTAGAAACAATGAAGGTTTGCTTCTGAATGAAAACTAACTTTTTAGGAAACATGATATTTTTTGGTTGCATTTCATTAATTATTAAAAAGTGCGAAACAAAATAAGCAATAGTAAAAAGACAAGAACACATCATATGTTATTCGGGTAAATAATCGTAAAAAATAGAAAGAAAGAGATTAATTTCATTTCTACATTTATATTTCCATAAAATAGAAATGTTTCTATTTTCCAATAACATAACATAAGGCTATTTGTTTGTGAAATATCTATAAGTATTTTCAATTCGTGGTATTGAGGTCAAAGTTTTTTTTTTTCATATTAATAGCGGTTTTTAGTAAAAGCTATATGAATGAAGATTATTCGTTGAAATTTCAAGTATTTTTGAATGGTTTAGAGAGTATTGCGAACTGTGGATAAAATTTAGGCTAAAGATTTTAGCATTTTATATTACATTTAGTATATTTATGTATAGTATACGATTGGTTCCCACCGAGGGGCTCGGAGCCTACCCTAACTAAGGGTGATTAGGCCATAGTCAACTACGCTGGCCAAGTGCGGGTTGATTAACTTTACACATATCTTTCAATTTCTTTTCAGATATGTGCAGGTTACATCACGATGTTTTCCTTCACCGTAAGAACGTCGGACTAATGTACATATGTAAATCAGTAATCGGAAAACACATTGTTACATGGCGGGATTCGAACCCAGGACTTGCAGATTGCAAGTCAGTGACCTTGACCCCTGAGTCACTGACGCTCTGGTGGACCACAAACGATTGGTTATTTCCACATTTAAAATTCAATTAGTTCTTTGACCGCGAAGTAAACTACAAGAAAAGTTGGAAGGACGAAGTATATTTAATATTCTTTTTAACCGTTAAGCTTCATTATAATACATATTATTTCCCAAGTTTAGGTATAACTTAGTAGGTGAGTAACTTAAGTAAGTTCGTATAAGTTATTCGTAACAAGGAAAAGCGTTTCATGGGCGAACATTATGTATGTTTGTAGTATATTTTTCCTCTAATAACTTCATGAGTGGGACATTATATTTGTGTAAGTTCATGCAAGGAAATGAAGTTACCTACCTCTATTCGCTTTTGTTTTTACACCCAAACCAATACTTACTCACTTATGGTGCCCTCCTCTGGTCATTAAAGGCAGGCATCAATATATTGGAGATGTCTACGTCTGCCGTCGCTTCGCTATTATAGCGAATAAGATAGCTGCACACTGGTTTGAAACATTTCACTATAAAAAATGTATATGTTCCAGTTAGTTAAACTGATTCTAGGAATCTAAATTTTAGCTAATGCGAGTCTAAATTAGTGCAACAATGGTAGGAATGTATTTACTAACAACATACCAACATACAGAGGTTCATCGAAAACATATATTGATTAAAATACTGAACGTTAGGTGTTCCTTTCAACGTAAAAATGTGGTACGTGCGAATGACGTCATTAGACAAGCTGGTCGGTGTATCGCTAGGTAAATAAGCGTTAGAACGCTCACAAAAGGATTTAATTCCATAGCTTGCTCACAATGGAGCCGAGCTACCGGCAAACTACAATAGACGTCACCGCAACTGAATTATAAATGTATCACATAAATTAGTTGCAGCCACGATGAAGGGTTGGTCAGATTTTCGTTGATGTGTTAGAAAGTAATTAAAGTTTTTTTTCTATGATATTGGAGAAAATGAGCATCGGGAACAATGAAATGATTAACGCCAATAGGCATCAGCAACAACAGAGGTACTGTAGATGATAGGCCGGGCCGTTGATAAAGATGTCCGCTTACTTTTTAAACTTTCTAATATTAAATATAGTATATGCTGTAGTTTTTCAAGAAAACAATATAATACTAGCTGTCGTGCGCGACTCCGTCCGCGCGGATTAAGAAAAAATGTTAGACACATAGGTACATTTTTCCAGACTTTGTTCAACGTCTATGCCAAATTTCAGCAAGATCTATGAAGTCATTCAGGAGATACCTTCAAACAAACATCCATCCATCCGAAATTCCCATTTATAATATTAGAAAGATTAGAGAGATATTTGTCACTATAGTCAATTCCTGCATCATTATTTTTTTATTTATCTTGTTTGTCTATTTCGTTGCTTTACCTTATTGATAACCGCTATTTAAAAAACCTCTTAATTTAGGCTGGGAACGTAAAATAATCGAATTTTAATTATTTCTTTCTTTTAGTAATCATCGATATTATTAGTAAATGGATTAGTATAAAAACAACTTTCAGTAGAGTTAAATTTTTTATTATGATAAGACAATTTAATATCCCTTTCAAATAAGGGCTCAAATTATTCCAAAGGGATATAATTATGCTTTTTCTACGATGAAATTTTTATACATATAAGAGTATAGTTTAAATATAAAAGATTTACATAGTAGCAACACAACCAAAGTAACTAACAATAACTTATTTACAAATTATTAATAGTATTTACAAACATATATATAGGTAGCTTCTTAGATATGTATTTACATTGAAATAATAAATTAATATTATAAATTTTCGTTGACGGAAATACATTTTTGATTTTACAAATCTAATACAATTTTATTCATGCGCCATGCACAAGAAATTAAGTTATAAATTTTAGAAATATTTATTTATAATTACCAAACAATTTATAAATTGTGTAATTCGAAACTTATAAATACTATAAGCTTATAATTGAGTCAAATGATCCAAAATTACAATCGAGTTGCTTTTTTTTATTTATATTGGAAGGTTCATAAGTATAAGTTAATTTTAATTTAATTAGAAAAACTAGGTTAGAATTATATATGGGGATAAAATATTTTAATGTCAATCGTAACCATAATATAACTATAACAATCACAATAAATCTTTGGCACAATATACTGATCACTTAATACAAAGTAACTTTTTAAAAGCTCTTCTGAAATCCATATTGAAAATCGTATAAATTAATGGATTTAATGCAGAATTGATATATCCAAGCCAAGTAATAAAATTAATAAACTTTCCTGATAAACAACAATTGTTGCAAAATGGTATAACGAGATATAATACGAAGAAAGGAAGCCAACAAACCACGAACACTCCCATTATAATGCCAAGAGTTCTCGCAGCGCGACGTTCTCTTGTCAAAGAAATACGTTGTTTTTCTTCAATAAATTGATAAACAGTGTTCTCTTGTGTTGTTTTACATCGTTTATGACTTTTCTTTATCGCAGTCTCCTTTACTTCTATTATTTCATCATCTTGTGTCTCTTTAGAATTACTTTCAGATGACGTGTTCCTGTTTTCTGCGTTATCCCCCGCGTCCGTAATCGAGTTATCATTGGATAGAATAGGTATTATTAATTTATTATGAGATTTATCGTCTTTACTCCAATATTTTCTTTTAGGCTTATTCTTTGGTGTAGACTTTTTTGATCTTTTATGCTTATGGTCATTATCTGATACTAGACGAGTAACTCCTTGGTGTTCATGATTTCCATCAGAACTGACTGAATCTTGGTCATTTTGGTCACTATTTTTGGAAGCTAATCTGTTACGACCACTCGAAATCGTACTTATCTTAGTTGCTTTAGCTCGATCTCGTAATCTTTTTTTAGTTGCTAAATAAATCTCAAAATAAACAACGGTCATTATTACGAGTGGTATATAAAATGATCCAGATGATGAGAAAATAACAAAACCCGGTTGAGAAGTTAACCGGCAAGGTGTATCCGGTTCGAATACATCCGGCCAATCGTTCCATCCTAGTAACGGCGGTGAACTAATTATAAGTGACAATATCCATACAATACCGATCATAAATAGAACTCTACCTAGAGTTCTTTTCTGGGCGTAGTTTATAGGATCTGTTATCGCCCAATAACGATCAAGTGCTATTGCGCATAGATTTAAAATAGACGAAGTACAACACATAATATCACATGTCAGCCACATTTTGCAAACATATATACCAAACACCCATTGTCCTAATATAGAATAAGCTACATTTAAAGGTAGAACTAAAATAGCTACAGTTAAATCCGCTACAGCTAATGATACTATGAAGAAGTTTTGAACAATTCTTAAAGGTTTATACGTGAACACACTAAGAATTACTAAGATATTTCCTATTATTGTTGATATAATAATCAGCGTAAGAATAACAGCTGTACAAATAGCCTCCCATTCTGGTACAGCAAGGGTTATACCTAGACTACTTGGGAATTTTGGTTCGTCGGCAACAGCGCAATCGTCTTTATCAATATCATAATAGTCGGAACTATTAAATGAACTAAAGTTGGAGCGATGATGAGTTGATGTTTGACCCATTTTGTATTGTTATTCTGTACATTTTAAGGACTATCATTGGTGGTGAAATTTTCGTATACAATTGTTGTTATAATTGGACAAATATAGTCATGACTTAACTCAGACATTTCTCCAAACGAATATATTTTATATCTTCTTCGCATGTTATTCATAATAATGAAATCTAAAAATAAAATGTTAAATCTTCATGTTTATTCCACTCTATAATTTTATATCAGTTTAAACTGTTGATTGTAGGTTTTAAGCTTACTGTGATGAACCTGCAACAAAAAAAAATGGTTAAGTAAAAATGTTATTTAGTGATATTTAGAACAGTTTTGGCACAATCCGTATTCAAATATCTTTTCTCTTAAAAATCTAAACACTTTTAATGAGATAAAAATCGTAACCAGTAAAAAAATAAGTTTAGTGACAAAATCATCTTACAATTTCTTCAAAGTAATTTACTTAAATAGGTAAAAATATACGCTTTCTTTATTCTTTTGAAAATTTGGTAGGAAATTAAATTTCCCGACATGACAATGTTAAGAAAATATCAAAGAAAGAAAATTGTAAAAGGAAAATTCAAATTATAAGTTTTCCTAAATTTGCTTGCCCTGTATAAAGGTCGTCTGTTAAAATGAATCCACTGATACGTATAATTATTCCATCAAGAAAGCAGTTCATGAAATAATTTTTAAGAGAAAATAATTTACGTAAAAATACTAAATGTTCTGAGTTACAAATACTAATTTAAGTCCTCTTTCCTTTCCCACCCTTTTCTTATAAGGAAACAATGAGAAGGGAAAGTAGATCTGATGGAAGTGGGGACTCATATCAAGACAAAATATTCTCTTTCTGTGAGTGTCCTCCTCCGTCGTTTAAAGGTAGGCAACGCATCTTCTCCTGTGAATGTCAATAGACAGCGGCTTTGCCATTTCGGAGACATTTTATTGGTATATCCGTTAATTTATGAACTTCTGAAATCAAAACTACTTGATTTGAACGAGTCCTAACGCTCAACAACACATAACTCATTATGGGATTCAAATTTTTCCTTGGAATTACAAAGACAATTATGTTTTTTAACAAGCAATTTTTAATTTAAAAGCATTTTAATAATTTTCTACATCTTTTGGTGTTGATGGTGTTTTTTTTTTATAAAAAAATTATAAATCTTACATCCACACTTTTATTAATTTAAATAACACACGATTTAAATATATGTATAATTTTAAAATCTACATAAATCTAAGTTGTGAATTATAATTGACGTTCAATTCAATGAGCTCGCAAACAATCAGGACAGAATTGCTTTTCGATCCCGTTCGTCGTTTGCTCGGAGGAAAGCACTTCTAATAGAATAGAGCGACGTCGGACGCAGACTGTTTATTTCAACGCCGTTTGTTATGAGCCAGCAAAACATTTAAAAGAATATAATAAAGTTTTACCAACATTAATAATTACATGTACCGTGTTGCAGATTTAATATTTACATTTATTTATCCTTTCCTTTGCTTTGCTTGACTTAACCGTGGTTTCTGAGACCCAATTTCTGTATAAAACATATCGTCATCCTCGTCTTTGGCACATAGAGGTAACAATATGTTTTAATCGCAGACTCAGAAACCCACTGTTAATTCTGTAATTTTATACACGGTTGTATATTATTTTAATAGGATATTGACCAAAATAGGAAATAAAATTGAACATTTCTCTCTTTATTATATAACAATGTCTTTACAATTCAGTGCAGAACCCAATCATTTCTTTTCAACCAATCTTCTTTGTATATTTATGCATATTTGCTTAACAAGGAACCTAAATACACAAACTCATTCACCCATTCAACCTTTTTAATTCACAATTCTTATAACAATGTCGTAATTTGTTCCTTTTTAATATTCTGTGTACTGGCCGTCTGAATTAATAATCATATGTTTTTATTTCAGTAAAAAAAAAATAATTTAAAGTTGTATACTAATTGACCTTGAAAATATCATCACAATACAATGATAAATAATACAGCCATAAAACTTTTTTTATAGTTGTCAACAAGGCTTTATTACTAAGCAAAATTCAGGTAAAGCAGATTTTTTAAATTATGTATTTGATAATCTCGAAAAGCGTCGGTGGCTCAGTGGTCAAGCACTTGACTTGCAATCTGCAGGTCTTGGGTTCGAATCCCGCCATGTACCAATGTGTTTTTCGATTTCCGATTTACATATGTACATTTATCCGACGTTCTTACGGTGAAGGTAAACATCGTGATGCAACCTGCACATATCTGAGAAGTAATTCAAAGATATGTGTGAAGTCAACCAACCCGCACTTGGCCAGCGTGGTTGACTATGGCCTAATCACACTTAACTTAGGGTAGACTCCGAGCCCCTGGGTGGGGACGTATAGTGAGCTGATGATGATGATGATTTGATAATCTACGAGTACACCTATTTCAGATTTCTTTCATTAAAAAGAAACTTAGACGATAGTGAATTTAATTTCGTTTAAATTAATTACTATTAGTTTTTTTTTAATTTTTACGTAGCAATCAACCAAATTTTAATTAAACCACATAAGATGTAAATTGTTTGAGTTTATTAATATCATATTCAAAGTAAATTAAAATATGCAAATACAAGGCCCAGATATTCACAGATGAGAAGCGACAAACTGAGGTTAGATACTCCACCATTACTCATATTGTTCTAGAAATAAACCAGCTCTTATTTACATTATAAACCTTTTGGGATAGAAATGACGCTAGTTTAGGCGTATCTTAATAATATTATAAATGCGAATGTTTAGATGGAATGATCTTTGTGATATCTCCAGAACAGCTGAACGTATCTCGATGTAATTTGGCATACATATAGATCATAGTCTGGAAGAACACATAGGCTACTAGTTATGCTGTTTTTTTTTAATTCCGTGCAGATGAATACGAGGGCGACCGCTATATAAAATATATAGCTGTCGTATGGTATTAAGGTCACTTCGTTATTTCAGTGATTTCAGGTGGCCGATAGCTCGATTACCACCTTATGATTTAAAAAATCATACGCGATATTATCTTAACAGTATGTACTTATAATTAACTTCTCAAGAACATGCGGGTCATTAAGATTTACATCTTCTTTATTAATGCAATGTTTTTAACCAACTCTATGGCGTACGAAGTTTCAAAGAGATAATTGTCATTTAAACAAGATTTCATCGTATATTGTCGCCCACTTTTCTGCTATATGAAATGAAGAATAACGAAAGGATTAGGTTGTCTTATTGACTTACTGTGGGTTTCTGACACTAAAATCTATGTAAAAAATATATTGTCATCCCTGTCAATACCTCTGACAACACAGAGATGACAATATGTTGTAAACGTGATTTTAATCTTAGAAACCCACGATTAGTGTATAAAAGTATAGTGACAACTCCACTCTAGCAGATATTTATTAGTATAAATTTTAGTCCAGTTATAGTAAGCATAGTATAGTTTAAAGTCAAAGTACTCACTAATAACAGAATTAAAACATAATAAAATTTTGAAGCTTTAAATTTAAATATCGATATTTTGTGGATAATCATTTCTGGAACAAAATACTTGAGACGGTTGTTGAAATCTGGTAAAACATGTTATTGAATAAATGCGAGCGACTAAAGCCTTGCGGTATATATCAATACTCGTTCAGACTAAAATAAATCCAATGAAAGGACTCGGAATATTATTGTTTCGCAATAACTTTCTTATTTTAGGTCAAGGTTGGGTTAGGGCACAGAAAATCAGCTCTTATTATTATTAAAGAGGCGCTTTATCTAATTGTGCAAATTAAGTTGCTTTATAATTGAGACGTTGAAAGAGCTCAAAGATTTCGAAATGACACATAGAAACAAAAGCTTCTCGATACATGAATAGAACCAAAAGGTTCGCTATTAGTAATCATGTAATGATATTATACGTCACTAGATATCCCTGTCATTTCGTCAGCGTGGAGTTAAAATAAAATTTACTAGCTTATGTGTACCCGATGAGCCGTTCTGGAGATATTTTCTAAAAACATTCATCCAACTGAACTTTCGTATTTACTAAATTTTATAAGATTAATTTATTTCGTAATTGGTAATAAAATATGGTTATGTTATTTTCGTATTTTCTCTTTCGAATGATATCAAAATGTTATATTAAATTGTAAGTACGTCGTTTTATCATAACGATCTCATTAGGCCACGCGAAGGAAAACGGATTTGTGAAACGTGACAACTTCAAAGCTTAACCTATTTTTACACTAATTAAAAATTTTATTACAAACATTTAACACCAAGTTTAAGGAAACACCATTTGAATTTAATCCTCTATGTTTAAACGACGATGATGTAATATGGGTGGGTTTCAAAATCAGTCTCGGTTTGATTACTACTATAATTATAAAGAGGTAATTTAACCGTCGTATTTTAACTACTGTTCTTCATATTAATACTTTTAAAATACTCCCTCACATAGGTAAAACTATTCCACTGAATTGACGCTTTATCAACGCGCGGTAAAAACCGTTCAAACATAACAAATGCATTTTCATATACCTGTTTAATAGTAGAGCTTTTAAAACGCAACGTTTTTTTACCGCACAGTGTAGCATGTGGAACACTGAGCGAAGGAAACAAGAGTGATTTTAAAGCGTTCATCGCTCGACAGTTGTGAACTCTTTTAACGCGGCGTTAAAAAAGCGCATTGATGAGCATGCAAGCTTAGATGTATAAAAGTTATAGACGCGAGTTGTGCCAAGACCAAAGTCAAATGGAAATCCGTTATCTCTGCCCACCCCTAGAGGTTACGGGTGTGAATAACGCTGTCGTTTTTGTATTTTGAAAACAAAACAAATTTTCTCTTGAGAATAGTAGCAGATAAAATATCAGAACATTCTGTAAATTAGTGACAAGTAAATGTACTCAGAGTTCACACAAGAGTTGATTTAATGTGTCATATGTCAGTGACATCTTAAATGACAAATTCACAGTGACGA